GATTGGGTTTTACTTTTTAATTTGGTAGAATTTAATTAATTTGATAATCAATTATACGAATATGATACATATTATTAGAGTTAGATAAATTATTATTTCTTTGGGAGGAATAAAATTTAATTTGTTCGAATTTATATTACCGTATAAATCATAAAAGGTCGTTGATGCACCAGAGCACAATCATCACCAATGTCATTGCTTGGGATCGCGCCCGAACATCCGGGCCTTGTCATTGCGATCAATTTGTTTCGGATTAATAAAAAATTCTCTAACTAATTAACCTTCTTTCTCCTTCCTTTTCGTTGCCTGTAAATTTAAGACAACAATGTTCACCATGATAACAGAAATCAATTAAGAGAGAATTACCAATGTGAGCGAACACAAAATGTTTTTTGCAAAATATCATATATTATAAATCATAAGTATAAATTACAGACGTTTCGACATCATTATTTGTGTTTGCTTCAAATGTATAAACCATATTCTAGATATAGCAACTTTACTTTATTTCATTGGGACGCTTACTATATCTAGAATATGTTATTCCTACATTTAATAATGATGTTGAAACGTTTGTAATTTATGCTCATGATTTATAATATTGATAAAAAATACTATAAACATAGTATAATTATTATATGAATGTATAAGAAGTAAAAACAGTGTGTGTAACTGTCAATTAATGTAAGGCAAGATTGTTTAAAACTACTTAGGGCGACTGTTACCAACGCCGATTAACTTAATCGATTAACTCAATCAACAGTATAGCTAACAGCACGTCTGTATATCGTTCTTATTATTATGTTCATGATATACTTTAATTTCTGCGTTCCTACTTAATTCTGTCTATAATAGAATGACTGCTGGTTGAGTATTGAGGTTGGTAACAGTTGCTCTTAGAATATTATAAATGTAGTTATAATATATAATAATTATAGTAATATGAACCAACAGGAAGTCTGTATATCGTTTTTATTATCGTCGTGAATCATACATAATAATAATTAGATAATTTGCGGAAGGAATGAAATATAATATTACTTGTGTTTGTTACATATTCGTAAATTCCATTTAAGAAAAATCTTCTTGATATCCAATAGCTCCTGGCAGATTTGGGAAATTGTTCGTTGCAGATAAACCGATATCTAAACCATACGTGAATGAATTTGACAAAGTCCCAAATTTTGTTCCAAACATCTTCGTGTAAATTGCACATTTGAGACAAACCTCGACAAGAAATGCATCATGAAACGTATCTTTAAATTACAAGTTACATAATAATGTACATATAATTATCGAATCTCCTCAAGGTTGATAAAATCATTCGACGCATTTTTGCACTACTGCGAACAGAGTTATTAATTGTTATTGTTATAATTAAAGAGTTGACAGATATCCAGAGGAAATCTGTTGCATCGATGGCATAAAGGAAAACAATTCTGCTTTACATTCTGCTTTACAGACAAATATTTAACCAAACAAACACTCTGCTGTATAATCTATGCCATCGATATGACGGATATGTTTCCTAACCTGAATAGTGATCAACTTTAACGATCTCGGTCCACGGAGTAAAGCGATACATTTTTATTTTGCTAGATTCGTGCAAATGTAGAAGCATAAAATCACTTACGTGTCCTCTATGCCATCGATGTGACAGTTTTCCTAACCTAATCATCAGCCACAGAAAACAGACACATGTGTGATGTGACCATGCACATTGCCAGCGCCATATTTGCCTCTAGCGCCGAAAAATCCAAAAGGACATTTCCCCCATCCCATAGCCCTGTCGCTGACGACGACGTTTCTTAAATTAAAAGTTTCAATTCGGATTTTGCATCATTTTGCATCGCAATATCTCCGCTCGTAGAGCACGTAGAGAAAAAACAAAAACATTTTCATTATATATTCAGAGCGGATGCAATCGATTGAGCACATTTAGAACTCAATCAAGGGAGAGCTGTTATTGAAATCCCATAATCGCCGTCTGGAAATCTTGACAGATTCGCGTAAGAGCCCGTTCACACGATATGGTTTTTTGACCGTTTCGGTAATTTCACCGAATCGGTACTGTTGCCGTGCTCTACAGTGGCAATACATTTTATATGGACGCGTTCACACGATACGATTCAGTGAAATTACCGAAACGGTCAAAAAACCGTACCGTGTGAACGGGCTCTTAAGTAGTCACGGCAGTGTCGCTGCGCTTGGCTTAGCGCCGAGACACTACCAGTGTCTCCAGATGTTATATGTTGCAATAAAATATGTGTTCTTTTCACAATTTAAAAAATACAATAGTATATGTTATATGTTGAAATTATATATTCTTTTTACAATTGGCGTAATTTAAAGATTTGATTTCATTTTTTTTTAATACATGCATAACGTACTACTGAGCGGTAATTTATAATAAAAAATTAACGATATTACCACTTGAATTATATTATTTATGTAACGATTTTTTTTTAGTTTATGTAAAGTACAGTTTTTTATGGAAGGTACATGCACACTTGGCGCCTTTTTTTACCTTTTTAAAAAAGGAAATTTTGTTAAGATGTCACGCATTTTGTAGTGTTAAACATCTTATATTCTTATATGATTAATAATATATCTCTTCACATGTGTGCGTATTACTAGAACATATTTATTATCAACATTTTCTAAAAATAATATATAAATGTTTTTAGCACCTATAGGCCATTGCTTTTTTATAACTTGCGTATCATCAGCTTCAATCCAAGGTGAACCTTCTCTATACATACTTATAAAATGATCGTTTTCCATACATGATCCATAATGAAATATAGCATTCATAATTTTATACGACTGTCCAGCTATTAGTATTTTACTTGTTGGAAGAGCACATAAATTAATTTTTTGTGGCACCTTCACTAATGTTCTATTTTGGTATGAAAATGAAATTAAATGGATAATTATCTGTTTCGTCTCAACGTTATTTCATTTTTAAATAATATATCATTTCCTTCACAACGTTCACATAATTTATTATTTTATTTTGACCAATGTGAAAATCAAGTATTTAGTAAATTGTTAAGATTAAAACTTTCCTTATTCGAATTATTAACAAAAATTGAAAAAATAAAATTATTATTAGTAGTAACTTTTGTATCACCACATGTTATGCATCGACAAGTAGAAATAATTTGATGCTCAACCAAATTTTCCATAAAATCA